TGTGATTGATATTCTCTGACTGTCCCTCCCAGTGCTTTCACTAAGACTCCCCAGCTACCTGTACCCCCAGGCACAGTCTGCATCCAGGTAATTAGCTTAAAGGAAGCAGCTGACCTTTTCCACACTTGGTGGTGTTACGGACCTGAGTGTGTTTCTAAGAACCAGAACAGGCCATGGGGACTGCAGCTCACCAGTGCAGCTGTGCGTTGAGGAACCCCACTGTAAGGAAGCTAATCTGCCGTTGTCACGTGTGTCTGATCTAACATGGCAAGTGTGGTGAGGGGTGGGTTAAAAATCTACAAAGAAAACAGCACTTCTGCACTTACATTGCTTTACCTTAAGACTCGGTGGATGCTAAAATATTTCAGGTGAGAAAACATCGGGGGCTACTGCTTATAAAGCTGCTGCTGGTGTGACAACCCCTGAACTACCAAATGCTAAGGTTACAAGATTATTTAGGCAAAATATCATCATATGCGTACCCTATTCTTCTACTCTTCCCTTGGGATCTGATGTTGGGGATGAAATATTAGGCTGAAGGGATTTTGATCTGAGCCTGTGTGACCCTTCTTGCAGTCCTGCACCTAGATTCACGTGTGTACATCCTTCTGCACATTAGAATGAACTTGTCAAAGCCTATAGCAACTCCTAAGTTAGATCTGTGTCATGGTTGGAAAGAGGATATCTCCCTTCCCTATAGGAAGTAGTTTCTACCAGCTGCAGTGCTCGAGGCAAGGGCAAGCAGCCAAAATGCCTAAATTTGCTTGAATCAGGCTGGACTATTGAATGACTGTGTCCTTTGGCTGTTAGGCAGCACTTAGGGGGAAATTTTCTCTATTGAGCTGGAGTCTGGAGTGTTTGTTTGCTGTGCCCCTGGTAACCAGCACTGGTTTAGAAACTTTAGAAACCCTGTCTTTATTTTTTTTTTTTAATAAAATTTTTTTAAAAGTGGGGGCAGCACATCTCCCTCACTGCTGCATGTCTGCCTCTCTGATTTTAGTTGTTTTAGAAATTTTGCTACAGGTGTAGGCTCACAGCGGCCATTTCCAATACTGGTTTGAAAAAGAACAGCGAGGGCCTCACTGAAGTCAGTCACACCTCCTGTAGCAGCGCTAAACACTTGTCCCCTGATAACTCTCAGGTCAAAATGATTTCTCACGTTTCCGGTACTCAGGAGTCTGTGGGTGGAGACACAACATTGTCCTCTTTTCCCTGGTTATGATGTTATATTGCTGCTGATAACCAGTAGTGAAGTGTCCCGGTATGGGCTTGGCTTTTAGTGGCCTCCGCCAAGCACGCGCAGTGCGGGGTCCTGAGGGTTCTGTTCTCCATCAGAGGAGCTGTAAGGATGCTGAGGGAACAAGCACTGCACGACATATAGGATGGAAACCTGACGGCTGCTGCCACCTGGATTTTTCTCAAAGCAATGGAGAGTGGTCCCAGAGTTGCTGTTACATTTCAGCCAGACTTCCGTACCAGCTTTCTTTAAAGTCAGCAGCATCTTTCTTCATCTGTGTCTTTCAGTAAATAAAAACAGGCAGTTGAATCTATTTATACATTTAGCTGAGTTCAGCAATTTGCTCCAACTGAAGCAAAAGTTTGGGAGAGAAGGGAAGAGCCCAAAAAAATGTTGAAATTGTTCTTTTCTTTGATTCAAAACGAAAAGCTTTTACAATATGGGAGAGAACTGTTTTCTACAGCAATGCCTGGTGCAGTGTGCCTTAGGCTTCTCCAGGCTTCCTCCCATTGCTTGTATTGACTCATTGTGCTTATTCTCTTCACCTTGTGTTTTGCTAGTCCTGACTGCTGAAGTAACAATTTGGGCAGTACCTCCCCACCACTGCCTAATTTCTCCCCTGATCAGACCCTCCTTGAAAGCACAGGAAACAAGAGAAAGGGTTTTTTTTTTCCCTTTATGAGATTTTCTCTACGTACATGAGATGAGGAGAGCGGGGCGGCTGCCAGGCACTGCGGTTCTGGAGCTGGAAGGAGCTGTTTGCACTGGTAATGTGAGGACGTAAGCACAAGGCCCTGCTGGGTTGCCCATCGCCTGCAGCGGTGCCGCCGGCCCCAGTTCAGCAGCCTTGGCGTTGGCTGCAGTGCGTTAGCCACGGACCTTCTGCCACCAGGCCCCTGCACGGGGACTGCTGCTCGCTCCGGTTTTGTGCCGCTTCCCTCCTGCTGTGCTTTCCGCAGCACCTACAGAGCATCGCTTTGACCTGGTGGAGTGATGGGAGGTTTTGGCAGCCAATTCATTAGTTTCAGAAGTTGCGCTAAACAGAATTAGTTGGCCTTGAAATTGTTTCTCTTAAGGTCTTCTGGGTATTTTTTGATACTGGAAGTTTTTGAGTGGTTATTGGAAGTTTTTGTGTAGTTGAGAACAGTGAGTGTTAGGTTAATGGTTGGACTAAATGATCTTCAAGGTCTTTTCCAACCTAGATGATTCTGTGATTCTGTTATTGTAGTCGGATTTTCTATGTTCTTTTTATCGACTTTTTGAAAGGGTATTGGATACCTTCCTGATACTGAGAACTACTGGAGTGTGAAATCATTTCCCAGGAGAAGTGACAGAAATCTTTAGTATCCGAGATGTTTAAAAGATGTCTGAATTTAACACTGGGCAATAATAATTTTGCATTAGCAAGAAAAAGAATGAGTGATATAAAAGTAGTAATTGCTGCTCCTCTGCAATACATAGCATGGCACAGGACGGTCTGTAAACTGTTCTGCAAAAAAACCTGCAAGCTACTTTTTTCCCTAGTATTTGTCAAATGCAAGTTTTAGGTACAAATACCTGCACATAACACCTTCATTAGACTTACGTGAGAAATACTGCTGCCCAAAGCTGCATTTAAAGATGTGAACAGCCCTGTTCAGCCTGTCAAGTACTTGTAATACTATTAGGACTCGGTATGCTCGTCAATAATAGGGAGCCCTATATAGAGGAAGCACTTGGAATAAGACATGGGGACAGCTGTGCCATGGCCCTTTCAAGCTTTTCTTATTATAGGTATTACATAGGTTCCCTCCCTCCAGTCTCACTGAAGGACTGACCTTGGGAGCAGAACTGCTGTCAGCAGTTGATACCACATTAACAAAGAGAAACTTCACGCCATGACAAAAATTTTAAGGCATTAAAACCAAGTATTTAATTTTCATGAGTTTTTCCAGCCTTGAATAGACCCCAGTCTTCTCTGATTTTAAAGTGTTTACTCTGGACAAATGCCCTCCCCTGTGTAACTCCTTAAATAACCAGGGGATGCTGAATAACAGAAAGCAAAGTTGCCTCTCTCTGCTTCAGAACGGATACAGTGAGACATTTGCTCTGATAAAAATATCAGTGCAAAGCTGGTCGCTACCCAGACCGGGCAGGGGTTTATGGAAACATAGTAAATCAGCTCTGCAGCATGCTTTGTTAGTATATCGAGCCTTTTCTCTATGCCAAGCTATAAAATTGCTGGATCGAAGTGGAGCTGGGCCTGAGTCCAAACTTCCCCCAACTTGAGGGGAACTTGGATCCATATCCCAACTCTGGGACTTGGCTCTGCCTCTAAATCAAGCTCTTATAATCTCTTAGGAAAAGTCAGACCTATGAATTATCCACTAAGCCACAGAAGGGCAGCCAAAGCTGTCTGTTTCTGAACACGTTTGCTCTGCCTGCCCTGCACTGCCAGTAAAGACATTTAGGTGGAGCCTTTCGTTAATCCTGGAAAGCTGATCATAGCCTTTGGTTTGGGAAGAAGCAGCCATCCATCCTTAATCTGCTCTTTTAATGTCAAAATATTTTTTCTTCTCCTTCCTTTTCTCTGTTTAGATCTGTGAATTGAGACACCAGGAAGGTAGAAGCCATCTCCAGCAGCCTTTGCTAGGAATTACGTGTTACTGCATTGCTCAGGGCAAGGGAGAGATGGAACACTAGGGAAGGAGAGGCTGGCACATTCTTTGGAGTGAGCCTCAGTGCTCTCCACGCTACCAGGCGCCTGGGTTAGTGCAACACTTTCTCTGTCTGCCTGGATGTGCCTCCACCAAATCGATAGCAAGTGCTATGGGCTATTGCCTGGCGTTTGCATGCCATGATGGTGCAAGGGTTTGAGGTCAAGTTTTCCCATAAAATATGAACAGGAAACCATGCTCACGCTGAGACTGATAAATCGACGTAAAAAGGAGACTGCAATTAAGAAATGACATATGGGATAGATGAGGGTAGCAGGCCCCAGGGATCAATAGAACTGTTTTGTGTTTAGATTGAGGTCTTTTCTTTCAGACTTGTCTTCTGTGACCCCAAATCTTCATCCTCTACCACCTTATTACTGTATTATTACTTGTTACAATAAAGACAAAGTGCCTTATTATTGCTGCTACCATCAATAATAGCTACAGTTTATCAGCAGTGTTTATTAAGTTAAATTCCATGCCAACATATATCTTCCTCTCCCAACACAATTTACACATGATCTGAAATAACAGTAGAGGATACAGAGAAAAATATGTGTCATTTTAGTGTATTTCAGTAGTTCTATCGATTTGTTTCAAATTAAGTCCCTTCAAAGAGGTTTAAAGTTTGTGTTCTTAAGCTAAGCCTTTTTCCTGCTGCAGAAGCTAATTTTTGATGTCTTTGCACTTTGCTTTTGTTCTGTCACAGCCCCTCAGTGTCCACCAGCTTCCCAGAACTGTGAAGCCACTATCCTAAACATTTCACAACCTTTTCCTTTTTTTCCCCATCACTTAATTTGCTTTTGGAAGCAAATGTTAAACATTGTTAGGAATCCTGAAGTTTAAAAACTTCTTAGTAAAGACCTACTGGTAATTCCCAAATGGAGATTTTGTGAACCCTCCTTTGAAGGACTGTGGTGTTTCCCCATTTTTCCTGTACAATGTGAAGTGATGTATAGCGCACTGAAGTGAGCAGCTTGTATGACCCCATTCATAGGCAAAACACAGGAGTCTGATATTGCTTCCGAAATGCTTTCATTTGCACTAATAATAAAATAATTCCTTACTTGATTTCTGTTTGTCCTCCTGCTTTTCGGGCAATCTGAATCAGCTCTTTCCCATATCTCTCTTCTGCTTGTGCTCTGTTAAAAGAAAAACTTACTCAATTTCTCTTAGTGTACCAGGATCACCTTTACAACACTCTTGTAATTGCATTCGCAGAAATACAATTTAATTTCTCTAGCTCCTCAATCCTAGTCTATTAGTTACCTCTAAAACATATGGTTGAGCTATTTTTAGAAGAAATGAGGGAAAGTGAAACCCACCTCCATGGCTCTGATTACTGTGGAGTGCTACATACAACTCTTCCCCAAAAAGCTGGATTCAATTCGAAGAAGAGATGTACAGAAGTGTAGTGAAGATGTTCAGAACGGAGAGACTCTTTTGCAAAACAAACCTAAAAGACGATGGCTGCCTTGATTCATCAAAATGAAGGCTGGGAGGAGAGTGAAGAGTAGGTTCCAAAGGATCTGTTTAAGAAAGGTTGTGAATAAATGGGAGTAGCGGGAAAATTTCTCACCATTGAAGACATGAAGTGCTGCTTAAACTGTTGCAGTGGAGGCAGAGGAGGAAGGAGCCTTGCTGGCTGTAAGGTGAGGCTGTGACAGTTTTATGGAAGGGACAATATGATGCAATGTCTCACTAATGGGGAACTGTAACTAGTGACTCAGGAAAGTAGTTCTGTTTCTATGGTAATAAAGAAATACAATTATTTCTTTGCTGTTTTCCCCTCCCCCAGCTCTGGGAGAAATTTCTATTCTCTGTTTTTAAAAAAAAAAAAAAAAAGTATTTTTACTAAATATGTTACTTCTTTTCTCCTGGGTGCAAGACCAGGGCAGTCTTTGAGTAGCTGCTAAAATCTATTGGATGGTCAATAATTAATAATGTGGTGCTACGATTTGGTGGTGGAGATTTTGTTTAGGGTAAGTCCAGTTCTCAAAAGGTGTTTCAAAGCATTTTGAACACTTTGAGCCTGAAACTGGGCACCTTAGAGAAACATGCCCTTTGTTCAAAAGAAGAATTTTGATGAGGGTGTGAGGCCATGCAAGCCTGCTGGTTTGTTCTTACGTACATCTTCCCACTCATTCACACTGTGCTTTATTGTTGCTCTTTGCTGAGTTCCAGTGGTTTGAGGGCTGGTCTTTCAGTTTTGCAACCCGGCAGCTGTTGGGGTGGGTCCCTGAGAAGATGTGACTGCCCTTTCGGCTGTTCCTCTGCGTCTGATGGCTCTGAACACCTTGTGTTGTAGCCAGCTGGACCGGGGGCTCTGCAGCAGTTTCACTGGTTTGCGGTCATCTTCTGAGACCTGAGGCAGGCTCATCCTGGGGACTTTCCCCCAGCCCAAGGAGATCTGTCAGGTGGCGGGAGAGGAGTGCTGGTCACACAGCAGCCCAGAGTGGGGGCTGTTCTCGGCCTCTGTCCATGGCTCCCATGTCTGGTTAGTTATTTGCTGTCACCCTGCACTAGAAATTGCTGCATTTCAGTAGGGTGTTACTCCATCACTGCTTTGGGAGTCCTCCTAGAAGAATGGGGTGCAAAATAGGGCGACAGGCCACACAGAGGCCACTTCATTTTCACGTTAGATGAATGAAATTTCATCAAAATGGAAATATACTCCAGAGACACATAACGCTGCAGAAGTAGGATGGCCTAATTTTCTTATGATTTAAATAACAAGAAACACTTTAGTGTCAGAGACTTTGCTTAGTACCGGTGGATGTACAGCAATGAGAATAACTGCAGTGCTACAGGACACTTTGCTTGCTCAGGACACACTCTATCATGGGAAGAAAGCACAGCCAGCTCTTAAGCCAGTTCCAGCTCCTGCAAAAACCCTGAGACTTTAGGCACTTGACTGGACTAGCCCAGGGTCAGAGGAGTTTGACAGGTGGTTGGCACCATCTTTTCACCTCTTAGTGCTGCCTTTCCCATTTTCTGGTACTCCTGCACACAGTTCTAGGTTTTCCTGCAGCCATGAAGAGCTGGAACATACTTTGTGTTTTAAATCCGAGGCTTTGTTCTAGAATACAACTGCTTTCTCACGTCCTACCCTCTTAGGCCCTCCTCTGGACCAGGCATGGGTATTTGTGAACAAAAGTGATTGACCTGGGTGGAAAAGTGTTGGTGTAGCCAGGGCTTAGGGCAGCTGCTGCAGGAGCCCTTTCTGAAACTCTGGCATGGAGCCCATGATATGGGCAGTCTCTAGGAACAGAGATTCATCCCATGCTTTAATCTCCTCTAGGTCATTCCCACGAACGACATGAGGACAAGCTGAAACAACATCTTCCAGAGATAAACTAGAAATAATAGCTGCTTTCTGCAACTCCGTGCCCACTACCTTTTCTCCTCTTCCCCCAACATGCATGTACACACCCAAGCACATGCACATATGTACCTCCACTGGAATGTTTTGGGGGTATGAAAAAGCTCATGGAAACATTTGTTCTTGTAGCTTTCAAATCTGTGAAATGACTGTATGTGGGTTTTTTTTCTTCTGTGTGGAAAGTCCTTTGTGCCTCCACCACAAACCAGGAAGAACCTCATCCTGCAACTTGCAGGAACCTCTGTAATGTTTTGGAAAGAAACAGGCATGTGTGGCATCAGCTGCATGCTGCAGTGCAAAGCCTTCCTGAAGCCTACGGCGTAATTCTGATCTCTGCAAGTAATGAGTCACAAAGGAGCTATTTTAAACAGTTAAAGCTAAGCTACCATCAGACAGATGCAACTTCAGGACTGTGTGACACGCAGCAGTGAAATACGCTTTCACAGGTGGTCAAGAAAAGCAATTCAAATAGCTTCAGATTTTGATGGGAAACTCTTTGCACTCTGTGAAATAGTCAACTTTCAGTTTGACAGCTCACATCCCCTTGAAAGGCCCAGTGCTTGAAAAGTAGCTTTCAGAAAACCAAACCTAAAACTGGAAAACTAGATGGGGACACACAGAGCAATATTCGTAAGGAGACAGCTTCTGAGATTAACTGCTCTAGGATTACCTACTCAATATATAATCCATACTGTGTGGTCTTTCCTACAGGTCATGTATGAGCATGTACATGTCTCATGCTACATGTTGAAACTGCTGAAACCCAGCCACTTAAAAACAGAAACAGAGTTCAGATATATGTTTTTCTAAGTCAGAAATACAAAAATGCATTGCAAAGAAGTCAGAGCAGCTGTGTAATATGTATTTTCTTACCTATAAAAGCATCACCCATCCATAGCTGTTGTTGACTGGCACCTAAGCAGCATATAAAGGATGGACATAAACTACAACTTTGTTATTCAGAGTCTGGTAAGCTTGGCGAATGATGTGCTCTGTCTTGGGTGTCTGGGCTTTTGGTAGCATCTTTATATAGCTTTGTCTATATTTGAAAAATGGCCCCTTTTTGGTAGTTGCAGGAAAGTGAAACAGTGCCTGCGGCAACAGCATGTTCAAAGTGAAATTAAAATGTGCAGGTCATTGCTTCCTGTAAAGGGGGAAACTCAGTAATGCTGCTTGTGGATGTATGTGCTACCATGTGATTCTGGTCCAATAATGACCTGGGTCTTAACGGACCTCTGGACTTCTGACTCTTTCAACTTTCTCCTTCTGTTCTCCTTCTCCAGTCTTCTCAAATCTTTGGAATTTCTGTTTATCTAGCTTCACAAATCACATCACTCGGGCTTTTCTATGTAAACTAGTATCACTACCAAATTCAGAAACAGCCTATTATCCCTTTACAGATGCCAAACAGGAGAGAAAATGGAGGCTGTTCACACTTCTTTCACTCTGGTTTTCTTACCTCTGCTTGAGCAAATCCTCCACATCTTTGCACATCTTCCTCCCATCTAACAGCCGCTGTATGAGCACCTCGTACCCAGTGTGGAAGGTGAACTCCTTGCACTGAAGACAGAAAGATAAAGAGTTGAGCTGATCTGTGCACATAGTTTGCAGGTTTACCAGATGCCTACTGTCAGTCATATGGAGCAAATAAACTACCTTGAAAAACCAATAGACCTTTAGATTTGCTCAGAGCAATGGCAGCTGGGGCAGGGCTAAGGGCACAGGTATGGGTGAGGTTTCTTCAAAGTTAAAATCTGTAAAAGTTTTATTAAACCGTTTGGTTTTTAATACTGAAAAAGTGAAGTAGGTGTAAATTCTGCTGTGTGGAAAGCAGCACTAGCTGTATTTTTTGGGAAGTCACATTTAGCATTGGGTGGGGGATCTCTGCAGAGCAGAGATGTATAGTAGCTCTTAAGGACAACAGCTCCTCTTACCATACATTTTCTAAAAAGAAAGATCAGAGTCAACTCACTGCCATAGGACTCTCAGTAAGACAGTGACCCGCTGTCTAGATGTGAGTGGAGAAGTAAAGGAATCTTGTGCTCGTATGAATATCGACACATGGGGTAGTGGTTGTGCCACCTGGTCAGTGGTGGGGTGTTTTAATGAGGGATTCACAGCACAGGGAGACAGCTTGCTGTCAGACAACACTTGGGTTCTGATGTGCTGTTAGGTCTTCCTTTGGGATTGCTATAACAACTCTTTTTATTGAATCAATCTGTCTCTGGCATAAATTCACCATGACAGTTTTGGGTTTTTTTAAAAAAAAAAAGTAGAAGATAGGCATGTGGAGAGCTTAGGAATGTGGACGTTGGATCTGCAGGAAATTGAAAGTCTGTGTGTCTGAGATGCTTGGCAATGAGTGTTGTTTCCCTCGCTTTTGCATTCACTGCCCAACCTCCTGTGCAATACATGGGATTCACTTGTGCCTTTGGGTGTTTTTGCAGCCTGTCCTGCTCCATGACCCCATGTGGCAAATGGAGCCAGCCAAGGCAGTCTGTGATTTTCAGCCAGCCACAGTACAGGCGAGGTCATGGAGCTGAGTGGATTTTGCTGCCCCAAAACCAACCAGGGCTCTTATTTCCTATCAGGGCTCTGCACTCTGTGTGGCTCCAGGCCACGTCCCTCTGCTGCGGTCTCGGACTGCGGATCCCTCCCATCACACAAGTCCATGTGTCAGGTTTATTCCTGTCCACATGATCCATCAGAGCACACCCCCTTGCATCTCAGAAATTTCTGAGTAATGAGAAGAAAAACAATTAGTCTTGCACTTCTTTCATCTTTTTCCCAACTTCCAGACTGCCCTGCAGCAATGGTAAATCAGAGTCACAACAGTGCTGCTGAGGAAATGCTGGGAGACCACAAAGGGAAGGGAATAAAGTTGTGACATGCTCTGAGTGTGGCACTAGGAGAGGATTTCTGTGTTCTACTCCTCATCCTCCCACTGACTTACAACAGGATTAGGACAAGCCATTCTTACTTTGAGAGCCTCAGTTAACCAGTACATAGTGATAATGTTATTGAAAATATAGTGGTGAATGTTATCTGAGCTTTATGTTACAGCATTATGGTAAAATCATGGACTGTAACCATAAAGAGAATGAATATGTTCCTTCCCTCAAGCAGTTTATGTGCAACACAAGTGCTTATATATGAACTGAATGCAGTTTATACATCTATCCACTGTCCCCTAAGCAGTTATCGTGTAATAAATGTGTTAGTGTATTGCTTTACACCGTGACTGTTGAGAAGACAGCTGTTTAAGTTTTGGGACTCAGGCAGGATCTGCTGGCAAGCAACGGTTGGACACTTGAGCTTGCAGCTTTGCTTCCTTATTGCTGGGACTGGAGAGGAACAGGGCGAGCTCTGGGGTGAACACCAGTGGCCAGCGGCAGCCTCGTGCTGCTCACCCAGGCCCTAGGGCTTCTGTGGAGATTTGCAGACCTGTGAGTGGGTCTTTTTGCTTCTTCAAGAGCTAGGATCAATTTCTGCAGACAACCTTTGTAAACCTACAGGTTGTAGTAACACTTGCAGTGCTACTGTTTCTTGACAGCAGTAATTCCTTCTTAACTGTTATCACCAGCAGTGGGGAGAAAGGAAAGACAGTAGGATAATGGTTCACAAGAGTCAGAGACAAATGACTCCACCAGCAAAGTGTCTGCACTACAGAGCCAGGCAAGATAACAATGTAGATAAAGGATATGGAGAGTGCAGTGGATCCACTGTTATCACTGGTGCTACCACAGGAAAATGATAGGATTACATATGCTCATCTGATGCATATGCTCACCCATTAAGAAATAGGATCTCAAAACCAAAACACCAGTTTTCCTAATGTTTCCAAGGGCAAGTTGCACACACACATCCCAGAGAGGGATCCTGCTGTGAAAGAAATGTAAAGAAACAAGATTTTGCTATTCATAGAAGAAAGTAGGAAAGGCCTTGATAATACCCTGGCAACAGACTTGTCACTCCCCCCCGTTCCCTTTTTTTGAGGACATCCCAATGGCAGAAGGCATTGCTGCTGTAAAAGAATTTCTTAAATCGCCCCCTCTGCCCAACAGAAACCACTCTGGTCAGATGCTCCACAACCAACTCAGCCCCAAAATTTTGACTGAATATTTCCAGATGCCATTAACTACATCCCATAGCTGTGCACCCAGCTTCCTTGTCCCAGAAACGCTGCCCGGAGGTAAGTGAAAATAACACATGCGTTTGTATCACCCCAGCAGTCGGGCTTACTGCCACAAGCAACAAATGGAGAGTGATAAGCACACTGTGAAATTACTCTGCTGTTTCCGTTCAACATATCTCTTTGTTTAGTAAATGCTAAAACTCACTCAGTGCCTTCTCCCACCTCTTTTAAACTGGGACAGTTGCTATAATGAAAGGATGGCAAATTCTGTACATCTGAGAGAATCACCTGTTAAATTCCCTAAATGGAGAATGCAGCACCAACTTGTTATCAACCCAAAACCACACACACAACCACAACAGTGTGCCAGGGGTCAGCTTGCTGACCAGCAACCCTTCTAGGGGCCTGATAAAATGAACTTCATTCAGCCATTTAGACATCTTGCTCCAAGCCATAAAAATGCAAGGGCAAGAAGCAATGCCGTATTAAAAACTCTTATCAAGCTCCACCCTGCCTTGGTGACCAAGAGAATGAGTTTTGCAGCACACCTAGCAGGACACTCTCACAGTGTGAGTTAAAGGATCCTGTGTAAGCCACGCTGCCCTGGTAGCACAGAGGTGCAGTCTTGCTGGAGCTCTGCAGGCAGGTTTGTCTCCAGGATGTGCTCTGGCATTTTTACTGGCACTAATGCAAAGGGAACAGGTTACTGCTTCTCCTCACTGCTCACAACAGATTCTGTGCTTCATCTTTTTGCCTTCCTACTTCCTTGCTTCAATGATTTTAGAAATGCAAAAGCCAGATTTTGCTTATTATAACTATAGGAATATTTTAGCCCTTTAATGCGTGTAGAAAGACACCTGTTTAAATGTGAAATCTGTAATAGCTCTTGCACATTTCTAGATCACAGGCTTTCTACCAAGCAGGCTATGGGAGCAGTGTTCCCCCCGTGCATTCTGTGTGCTTGTGTGCACATGTGTATGCCAAGTGCAGCCTGTGCCTTACTCAACAGTTTTACTTTCTGTCTGTTGCCTGCTAACATGAGTAAGACTTGAACTTGTTAAAAATGGAGGCACTGCAGCCGCACCTGAAGGAAAGCTGGAATCTCCTTTGATGGAGGCATCGGTTCCTGCCTGCTAGATTCATCTGGGTTTTTCCCTGTGGCTGATGCTTGTAGAGGGATTTGGTTCCAGCTAAAAGCCCGTCTAAAAAAGACTTCCTACCATAGACACTCACTTAATCATTATTCATTTGGGGGGGGATCCATCTCAAAATTTGCTTTATTGTCCTCAGTATGTGTTCCTGAAGAATGTGGAAGCCATGTTTCAGAATCCCCAGCATCTCAAATCTAAAGCAGGTCTGCCCCAGCCTCCCAGGCAGCAGACCTGGCTGTGGTCTAGACAGTGTGTGCCACTACCCCACCACAGGCTACAGCAAGGCGGGAGAGGAAACACAGCCAGGTGACAGCCCAGGTTTAGACATGTTTAACTTGCTATGGTTGCTCACCCTGCAACCTTGCTTCTTAGTTTCCAACCACAATGGAGCCATAAAACATTTAGGCCTAAGTTTACGTACACAAACGTTTCCCTTTCATTTCAACAGCTCTTTTTCTTTCATATGTTGTACAACTGGTTTTCTCTCAACCTCTTCTTGAATCCAAACAAACCTCCTTTGCTCTTTCCTGAGATATTGGTTTTTCGTTCCATTGATTCCTGTGTGTTCTTACAGTACCTCTTCAAGGCTGAATAAATCCAGGTTGGACAAGGATGATGCTCTACTACTCCAGTAAAAACTAGTTGCTGCTTTGTACCATGGCATTAATGCCTGCTCTGTTTTCTTAGAAACACTTCTGGTACATCAGAGGATCATATTTGCCTTTTTCCACTATCAAATCACACCAGTGGCACCTAATTGAACTACGGTCTACCGATATACCTGCAATTTTCTCTTCTCCTGCAATTTTACTTAACAAGGTGCCACAGTCTATTGGACCCTTTTGCTACTGATCTCATTCTCATTTTGCACCTTGAAACTTAAATTTTGTCTGCTTTCTGTTACCCCAGGCTTGAAGGTTATCAGATATTTCCTGTACAATATTTCTTTCTACCTATTTGTTTCAGCAACAGCTATTTCCAGCCCATTCTTAATGTCTTATGCTATCATCTCCCATGAATATATTGAATAAAATTAATCCTGAAACCAGCTCTGAGATTCTCTCCTCCAGCTCAACATTTCCATTTTGGCAGAAGCCACCAGCGTCTCCCCCAGAAGAGTGTCTTTGCCCACTTTACAGTTGTTCTCCTGCTGTGTCTGTTAAGTCTTGTTTTGTTTTTCTTCTCTAATTTCGTCAAGACAAGCAAGACAGCAAGATTGTATCCCATTAAACAACTACCTAGCCTTGATAAACTGTCTTGTCTTTATTCTATTT